GTAGGGAGAAGATGGCCATTTGTAAGCCCATGTAAAAAGCCTGGAACAGATTTTTCCCTTACATCTTGTGTTTGGACTTCTAGCCTCTGTAACTGAGACAACACATTTCTATTGTTTAAGACACGCAGTCTATACTTTGTTATGGGAGCCCTGGCAACCTAACACAAGGAGATTCCCATTTTTATATTTTTGTTGTATATGACATTTTTATAATGACTGTGTATATTACTTCTATAATCAGAGCAGCCCTCTTCAATTTTTCATTTTGGAAAATGAGAGAAGAGACAGAAGAACTGGGAGAAGAGGATGAGGCATGACTATCCTAAAACTGGTTTTATTACTCATCAGTAAATCGAGAGCATACTTCCCGCTACTCACTCTGTCCCTGCCCTACCCCCACCCCACCCAACACTGCCCTTTAGGTGGCCAGCTTGCCCTGAGGAGACCACTAGCTGAGAAGATTGGTGGGCCCTGATTTGCTAGGTGACAACTAAGGTCTGGTCACGCCATATGTCACCAGGGCCATCTCCCTTCATTGCACACATCTGGCTCAGGCCTAGACAAAGTGGGGCATTTCTAACCATCTCACTCCACAAATCAGAAAGCCCGAGGCACCTACAGTAAGAATGCCTGCAAGCAGCTGGCATGCTTCTGCTAGCTCTGGCCCCTCATTCACATGGAGGGGTTGCCTGCTCAAAAGCCACATTAGAAGAACACACTATCCGAGAAGTCCCTGTAAAACAGAATTCTTTCAACAATTTTTCCCCTGAGAAGATGTCCTGCTTTTCCAGGGGGTACGGTGGTGCCCACTGTTGGGAGATACAGGGGTAGGCCTACATCTGAGAACCTAAGGCCCCGGAGAGGAGTGCACTGATTTGCAGGGGTCAAGGCCACCAAAGAGCTGGAAGGTTTAAGGTAGTAGCACTCTGCAAGACCACGTGTTCCCGTCCTGGTCAAATACTCGGAGCCAGATCTGGCCTTCTTGGCAGAACCACTCAGAGGCCCCGAACCTTCTGGCAAGCTGCACGGGTTGGCCCCCGAGGAATCTGGCCAGCCTAGTACACTTCTGCGGCTAGCCCTTGGGCCAGCAAGGAATCAAAAGTAAATTTAGAACTGCAGAGAGGTTAAGAAAAAGAAATCTCAACGTAGTAGGTCTGAATACTCACAAAATAGCCGCAAGCTCTTCAGCTTCCTGTGCTTCAAGTGGTTGTCCTCGCCAGATCCTGATGGTTCCGGAACAGAGGAGGAACTGAGGACAGGGCTAGCATTTCAAAGCACCTCCTGTGTTCTGCACTGTAACTACAGCAGAGCCTTTGACCTTCCCGATGTGCCGAGAACAGGGGGGTATTTCCTCTACCTGAAAAAAAAACAAAGCTCCAAGAGGTGAAGTCACTTGCCCAAGGATTAATAGGCTAGTAATGGCAGAGACATGGAATTGTGAATTAATGGACTTTATTTTCCTGCTTTCTCACCTGAGTGGAAATGAACCCTCTTCTCAGTGGAGGTTTAAAGGAGATGATGTGTACAGCACGCCCTGCTCCTGGCTGAGCACATAGGGCACCAGATGACCAGCTAATCCTGAGGCAGCCTGATGGGCCCAAGAGAGCACGGAAGACAGAGCAAGGCTCTTGATCAGTGACCCCTTCTCAAGCCCCAAAAGGGAGGTGAGCAGAGGTATGACAGCAAGTCCAGGAAAGGACCAGGGCTCATCAAATTTCTTGAAAACATGTTTTCCACTGGATGTCTTCACTTCTTCCATGTTGGCTCTCCACCCCACTATAATCGTTATGGCCCCGTTACTCTGAACAGCTTTCATGTTCTCTGGTCATCTCTTAGTTACTAATCTTTATGGCTTGTTTCTCTCCAAGGGCTTTCCAACTTCCAGCATCGTCTGTTGTTTTTCACCTTTGCCAGTGGCTTGTAAGAGTTAAAACTAAGAGGGCCCCTCTCCATGTCTTTTTAAGGACATAAACCCCTCTCCAGGTTCTCTGGAGAGGACCTGAAGCTTTCCTCTGTGACCCTTTCAAGACCCCACACCTTCCTCCTGGGGATTGCCACTGTAACTTTTGAGCATCCAAAGAGCCCATTTGGAAGGGAAAGTGGGCCAAATGTCACTGAAAGAGAACCACTCTGAGGAGACCAAGGGTCTTACAGTGTTAACAATTGTTTTCTGCGAGAAACTATCTCCCAAACTCCACACAAACCCACCCACCCGAAGTTCAACAGGAATTGGTGGAAAACAACTCGGAGGAAGTACAGCTGTTCCCTCTGAGGAGCACGCGTGGGGGAAGCCAGGCCTAGGACGGGGGGGGGGGGTGTTCCCGGGGCTGTGACATACAGCATTCCTTTCGCTTGAAGCATCCAAGCCCAAGGAGCTGCAGTCTCCCCTCGGGAATATGACATAACCACAGCCGGGAAGGGCCTCACAAAAACAGACCAGTGTCCATGCGTCCTGCTCCAAAAGAAGCCCCTTCCCATCCTCTGCGAGAACTCTAGCATGTGCTGAGGCTCAACCGCACCCCCCAATCTCCTGTCAGACAAATAGCCCAAAGTCAATGATCTTTAGGATGTGTTTATATTTACATGGTACATTTTAAAGCAATGACTACATTGGTCATACATATTAGAAACCATAAAAAAAAGTTAAGAACTAAAATGTACATCATACACTTGTATATATATTTTTTACACAGAGGTAAAAAGGCTTATTATAAAAAAATCAATACAACAGGGTTTTTAGTATACAGGTAAAGAATGAATTATGCTTCAGGCACTTTAATTTGTTAATGTGAGCAAATAGCTTGGGGGTGGGGGGTGGTTAGAGGAAGCTTCCAAACAAATCTTTTGGTTAATGTTTTGTTACCACAGATACAAAAATAAAATCTGAATAATTTCTCTCGAATGATTGACGTCAGTATGGCAAAGCTGACTGGGAAAATACTACACACTGTTCAGCTGCAGTGTGGCAATTAGAGAGAGAGACGTATTTACATCAATGTCCCCATGGCTGTCCTTGTGCCCTTAACCACTCGCTGCCTTCACAGACCAAAACGTATAGGCGGAGTAAGATTCACCAGCATAACTCTTCAAAGGGTGGAAAAGGACAAGGGGTCAGTAACAACTAAACAGGGACTACAAACAAAATGTGCCAGGATGTGTGTGTTCCTAGTGAAATAAATAGGGGCACTTGAACTGAGGTCTAACAAACCTACATTAGTGTTGTGCTTTGTAGAGAGGAGAGACCTTGAGAAAGGCCCTGAGGAAATGCCTCAGGAAGGGGGGGCTGGGGGCGGGGGCTGGTCTCTTGACAGGGTCTGGAGGCTGGCTGGAGGTTTTCTACATGTTCTCCAGGCTGGGAAACAGTTCTCTTTTCTTCCATCACCAGACTGACAGCTCTCTGCTCCTTTCCAAGCCAGAAGGCCCAAACCAGTCACTCCCAACAAATGAAAACATCTACCAACTAACTCATAAGCACACGGAGTATTTACACCGATGATCTGACTAAAGAAATGTGATGGGCGCTCGGATGAGCTGAAAACATTCCAAGAAGGGAAGCATGGCTAGCACTTTCCCAATACGATTGGCAGACTGGAAAAAAGTCCCTTTCCTTGAAGACTAGCTGTCCTGTGTGCAAAAGAGAAGGGATGGGTGGGGGGAGTGGAGATACAGAGAGCAGGCCATGCCCTCAGCTGGCAATTAGCACAGGAAGATCATGGAGGGAAGAAGAGCCAGCCTTGACAAGCCTGTCCCCTACGGTCTCCGTGACGTTCTGATTGTACTATGCTAGGTACCACTCTTTGCTTTTCTTCTTTCTGCAATGAGATTTGGCTACTCCTTGCAATATATTAGAAAAATACTTTTTTCCAGCTAATTAGAAGCCTCCTACATGGCAAGGCGACAGATAGACCCAGACTGCTGACCTAACCATCTGTGCACCCAAACTGGCAAGTCTGGGATTGAAGATGTAGGAGAAAGACACTTAGGCATTGGAAGGGTTTTTACATATGGCCTTGTTTTTTTTTAATCCCCCCAAGTATAAACGAAGAATTTGGTGATGTGAATTTCAGTTTAGAACAAAAACAAAAACAGAAACCTATGAACAAAATGCAACCCACCACTCTTCAGATTTAGGACATTTAAAATGCACCCCTCCCCCAAAATAGGGGATATGGGAGGAAGCTCCTTTGATTTTATTTACCACAACCTCGGTGTTTCTCAACTGGAACTCTTTGGAGAACACGGGTGTGTGTATGTGTATGACTCAACTATTTCATTTGCAAAACAATGAGCACAATTTCTTAGTGTTGTCTTCTAATATTGCTAAATTTTTAGAAGTGGTGGGGACACAATTTTAAGAAAGTTCTATTTAAGGGGTTACAGGGGAGGCTCTCAGAGACCTGAAATCCCCCCTTTCTAGGCGTGGTCCATGAGGATGCAATGCGGTTTAAGGAATTTTCCTGATTCACACAAGTTAATCTCAAGTTAAGGCTCAATTCTCAGTCATTTCATGGATGAATTTGCATCAGTAAATGATTGACAGATTTCTGGGGGAGGGCAGAGAATGAGGATGCGCTCCAGATAGAAACTGCAGCTTCCTTGGGAAATTTGGCTTTCCAAAAAGTTAAAGCGATCTTGTTTTGTGGGAGACGTTTGTTAATTAGCTCACCTCCTATACATAATCCAACTGCAGGTTAAAATACTTCTGGTGGGGTTTCATCACTCTGACATTACCTATCTGCAGGAACCCAATGCTCCTTAGCAACCGGCAAGCTGAACCAAGAGAAAGGAGTGGCTGGAAAAACCAACTACAAACCCCACCCCAAACCAGCAGTCCGACTACAGGCGCCTTTGCACTGGAAGAGGTGGGTAGGAAAGACATGAAATCAACGCATGTATAAGACAGATTGATTACAGATCGTTAATAATACACGAGTGTCTGTGCGGAGGTTCCTTTCCTTCCAACACTGTGTGCGTGCGTGTGTGTCTGATGCAGAGGGGGGGGGGGGGGGGGGGGCGGGGGAAAGTGCAGAGTCCACCAGGCGGGCTCCCCAGGCTGGAATAGCGCCTCAAGGTACCAGGGAGCAGGGAAGAAGGTGAGAGTATGTCGGACACAAGTTTCCTTGTGGCTGTGGGAGGAGGAGGAAGAGGAGGAGGAGGACTAGGGGAAGGAGGGAAACTGAGTCACACGGCCGCTTTGTGCTTCCCCCCGCAGCACCTGCACATCACTCCGCAGTGGTAGCAGGCCCGAAGGGGCAGATAACAGCACATACAGGGGGCCAGGAAAGACAAGGCAATAAGAGCCATCCACCGGAGGCAAAACTTCTCGTCACTAGTATCGCACGAGCACGGGTCTGTATAGTCTCCCTCGGGGTCCGACATACAGTGATAGAGCATGCTGTCCGCACACCACATACAGCTCACGCGGCGGATGCAAGTTCTCACGGAGTCGGGCGCGTCCTGACAGTGGCCCCTCCGGTTCTCCTCGTGGTTGAACATGTCCCTGCAGTACTCGCACCGGGAGCGCTCGCCGTCCTCCTTCCGCCGCCGGGACTTGCCCCGGGACGGCTGGGTCTTGATCACGCCGCCCCCGCGCCCTTTGGGGTCTTCGCCGAGCCCGAAGTCCGAGGAGTCCACGTACGGGTAATTGTAGTCGTGCTTGGGGACCTCGCCCTTGGCGAAGCGCACGTACGAGTCGGCGTCCTCCGACGTGTCCGGGGACTTGCCCCTCACGGGCGCGTGCCGGTAGTCCTCGTAGCCCGTCAGCCAGATCTTCTCCCTCGGGTTGATGCGCACAATCTCCTCGTCGTCGTCAGGGAAGCTCACCTGCCGGTAGGGCCTCGGCATCGGCTGCCCCGGGTGAAAGGAGACACTTTTATAGCAGCGGCAAAAACAACCCCCCAAATCCTCCACTGTGTACCTCTGGCCTTGACGAAGGCATTTCTTGACACAAAGATCGGACCCAACCTGGAATGAATGAACATCTCCTAGGTCGAAGGTCCTGCAAGTTGTGACTCGCCGTCCACTCCTGGGTCAGAAATTTTTTCCTTTTGCCAAGGTACTACCATACACGAGGGGACTCGTAAAAAGGGACTTTGAATTTTTGGAAGCTGAACACACCAAGAGGGAGAAGCAGAATGTGAAAGGCCTCCCTGAGCCCCTCTCTCTAAGGTGACGGTGACAGCCCTCCTGATTTCTAACAGCTTAGATTAGCACCTGTGTCTGTACAGCGTGTTCTCTTTTGCAAGACCAGCTTTTCTCCCAGGGGGAACAGAGAAGGACAGGAGCACACTCCCTGTTACAAGGGTGGCCTCTGTGGGTCTCTGTCTGTCTGTGAGAGCTGCCTACTGGGTCACAACATGAAATGCATTTTGCACTGTGGGTCATGTTCAGAAAAGCAAAAATGGATACGAGGAGCTAGGGTATGGGGTCTCTTGTCATCTGGCTGGGAAGCTACAGGAGTGCAGATCGGGAGGCTGACTGCCTGGAGTCTGCATGTGGCCAGGGTCTCACAGGTGGTGAGGGGCAGGCTGGAATGTGAGCTGGGGTAGGCCAGACCCAGAGCCTCACCCCTCCCTGCCTCGAATTCTCCCAGGGGCTACAAAGTCCTCTCCGCAGTGAGTCCTACTCTGGCGTCAGGGAGGCCCTGTCCATGGGGGCAGGCACTGAATCTGTAGTTATCAATCCACTTGATGTCCTCTGTGGATGAAGTCTTCTTAAGGGGTGAGGAACACGGCTCTGAGGGAAGCCATTAGAGTAAAATTCGGACTTTGGAATTTATTAGCACGTATCTAAGCCTCAGATTCTCTATCACACAGGTATGGCTCACACCTGTCTCCGTCATCATCAATCTAATACTGTCACAGGATTTATCACCTGCTAACTAAATTTGTCCATCACTCTCACCAGACTGTGCGCTCCTTGAGGGCAGGGACCATGTCTCGCATACTGCCAAATTCCTATTAGATTCTTGACAGAGTTCCACAGACTTTGGAAAACCATAATCTTATATAGATCAAAACAAATCCTGGGAGCAGAACAGGCTTTGCTAATTATTTTGCAAAGTAAGGAGTCAAAAGGTCAATTCCCAACTATAGGTACCATAAAGTGATTTTTAAAAAGAGTATTTTAATGCCAAAATATTAGGAAGCACACAGTAAGATTTTTTTTTTTTTTAGGTTTCTATCAATCTAGCTTTATGTTGAAAACAAAACAAAACCAAAACCCTTCACTGCCCTGTGTTCCTTTTTTCCTTCTCAGAGCAGACTGGTGGCCACATCACCCTCCACGGGCACCAGTCCATGTCCCACAGTTTGGGAACCTGCTCTGCAGAACAGCCGCCTGGTAAATATTTGTTGAGTTACTGAATTCCAGACTCCAGCTACATCTCCCCAAGCAAGCCTGGGCCTGCAGCCTGCGATGCCAGGGTGCCCGAGCCAAGCAGACAGCATTCTTTAGTCCTGATCCTGGCTCTGGGCTTTCACACCAAGCCAGGAAGCCCTTTGCACAGAGGAACTCGGGGGGCAGCGCAGCATGCTGGGTAAGCACATGCTTGCATCTGTAACCTGTTCTATCAAGGACTCTCTCTAAGCCCTCAGCCTTCTCCTCTATAAACTGGGGATGCCGAGGACGTGCCTTGTGGGGTCATTTGTAAGCATTCGACAAGCTTAAGCACAGGAAAGGTTTAGCATGGGGTCTCGCACACAGAAAGCTAAGTAGGCATGAGCTGCCACCACCACTGTCAATATGGAGAACAGAGGATGCCTGGCCGTGAGCTTTGGGCCACATGGAAGGGGAAGGGGGCTGTCCCAGAATCAGCAGCTGCCCACTCCGTGCTCTCGGAGGAACCAGAGGGTTGCTCACCTGTTCAAGGTGACAGTGGTCCGTGGGGTATGAGTCGTGGAGGTGGCCCAGAGTATAAATCCTCCTGTGCTCACAGGATGTGGGAGAAGAGATTGTCCGAGTAGGTTGTTCCCTCTTCTGGGAGGAATTAGAAGAACTGTCTGTAGCTGTCTGTTTAGAGGGAGGTAACCCAGAGTTAATTAAAACAAAAACAAAAACCAAACCCACATACCCAAACCGAACACACCATCTACCCCCACTTGTGGTGTCTTGCTGGACTTCCCGAAATCTCGAGTTTATCTTGGCTGTGGGAGGCAGAAGGACCCCTAAAGGGCCAGATTGTCTAAACACGATGTGGCTGGCTCAAAGGGCAGAGAAAACCAGCCACCCAACCCTGGAAAGCTGGGTTTTCTCAAATGTGGGAGCAGTCACTAGGCTTCAGGGAAAGGGCTTGCTTCATCAGGCCTTCTGTGAGTGTGTCCCAGTTTGATCAAAAATGGTCACCTCACTTGTAGCCCTGGTTGCATGGGACTCTGGTGTGCAGGGGAGATGCAAACGGGCAAAAAATCAAATCCAAATGTTTCTGTGTGGAGCTAATACCAGCCTGGGAAAGTCTCAGCAATAAGGATATCTCAAGGGTATCATAGGCATTGGCTTTCCTGGAAGAAATTTTGTAATTTGGGGTTGAAGGCAGGCCTGGGGGGGGGGGGTGGTCACTGTAAGCCAGTGGAGGGGAGGGAGAGAAAGAGAGAGGGGATTGCACAGAGAATGAAGGCCACTGTCTGTTGGTGGTGAGAGCTGCTCCCCCAGTAGAGGTGATGGGTTCAGGCTGGAGGCTCTGTGAGTGTCTTTGGAAGGTGATCACGTATTGGGATGGACTGTGGCCACCACCCTTGAAAGCCAGGAATCCTCAGAATCCCCTCCTCCCCTGGCTCCTCAGAGTCACAAATCCTTTTCTCTCCCAAATCAATGAAAAGTTATTTCTCATATCTAGGTGTCTTATTTTGGGAAAAATCAAGAACTCCTCCTTGGCTCTTGCTTCTCAATGTCTTAATTCCCTTGCCTCATTTGCTTATTTATCTCTTTATCTTACATGTTGTTTTATTAGCGTTGTATATCTTTTTGGGGGCAAGGTTAAAACAGACTTATGAAAATTACTTTTATACCCTCACTCCCAACTTAGAAAGTAATACCTGCCCAGTAAAATCGGACCAGTATTTAGGACAAAGATACCCATATTCCCATTATGCAACTTAATTACTGTTAATTTTTAAAACTTGGTGGACATGTGCAGCACCTCTTTGGAGACCCAACCCTTCAGATTTTTTCCCTCTAATCCTGTTTGGTCCAAGTGATGCAGAGCTGATGCTGTTTCTGATCCCTCAACCCAGAGTGACTAATTCGGATACGGATTCACGGTCCTTTCTGACGTAATACGAAGATTTTTCATGGAGAGGTCAGAAAAGATGCTGTCTTTATCTTGGCAGTTAAGAGCTAAGGGTCCTAGAAGCCTGGAATCCTGGTGAGGGCACAAGGGAAGAACCTTCTGAGGAGGACGTGAAGCCAAACCAGGGCAGCCGCCCCCACAGACGCCATTTGAGCTTCTGGATCTCGTCAAGCCTGAATCCTGATCTACCTTAGGCTGTCCCGAAGGTGTAAGCATATTGCCTTGGGAACTTCAGCCAAATGCGTTGGCTTCATCACTGGGGCACACCTCCCCCTCACTTCTGCTCTCCCCCACCTTGGCAGTCCTGCCCACAGCATTCTCTGCCTCTCCTCACTCCTCTCCACAGCAGTGCAGTGGAACTGGGCACACAGAGTCTGCTACTTCTCGACCTCTTGGGAGCCACCCAACTGACAAACAGCACATGCCGGCATCCACTCTGGGGATGGTGTGGTCCTCTTGGAGGCCAAGAGCCCACCCCACTGTGGGAAGCTGTGGAGATCAGCGCCCCTGAGCTTTGGCAGGGCGGGTCTGTCCAATTGTTGTGTCTCCCCACCTGAGCTGTCTGCTTCCTGCAGATGTGGGCCAGAACAGGTACCATCACTCTTCATGCATTTCCTTTCTTTTCTCCCCCTCAGTACTTCAGGACTTAGAGAAGAATTGCTATTTACCCCTCAAATCCCAATAACTGAAAGCAACCTAACGGATACACAGGAATGCTTACTTTCTCCCAAACTCTGTCCTGTCTTCCCACTCTCACCTGCTCTTTCTTCCCATCTTCAGAGGTACTGACTACCTCCCTCTTTTCACACACGGGTGGTTGTAGATCAGACAGAATTAAGCCAAGAGTTCGTCCCTGTCTCTGGCTGTCTGCCAGGCCCCGGCTTGTTCGGGGGTGGGGGTGGGTAGGGGGCTGGTACGCAGACGCAAGCAGAGCCCTGGCTCCCATTCACACACAGGACGGCAGACTCCAGGCCAGGCAGGGTCCTGCCGACCCGACCAGGGCAGACAGCCACTGCAGAGCTGGATGGAAATGCAGCCCTGATCATGCCCGGGGATGGAGTGGGTGCGGGGAGTCCATACACAGCACTGATGCTTCTAGCCCCTTCCAGCCCTTTCCGATGCCCGCTCTCAGAGGGGTTTTGCTGAGATTAACTTGAGCACAATCCCTCCAAGTAAAAAGATGCACCCTGCTTTAGGCAAACCTAGGAGATAAGGGGATGACCAGTCATGATACAGAGGTTTCTAAAGAGCTCAATAAATACTTCCTGAATGAGTAGGTGGGGGCCCTTCAGTGTGAGTCAAATCTCAAGGGTTAAACTCTTAAGCAGCACCACACATGACAGTCCTCTCTCCGGACAGAAGCTACCCGTGTACGGAACACTGATATGCACTCTGCATCGCGGCCAGCTCTGTGTTAATCATCTGTTCGCCCTCCCCCACCCTATCTCCTGTGACCTATGTCCAGGTTAACAATGTGGAGAAAGCCACTCTGAGCCACGAGGCACACCCGTGTTTTCCTGGTGCTCATCAGCCAACCAGCAGTGCCACCTCTGATGCACCCATCCTACCTCCCGAACCCCGAGCAGCCTCTGCCCGCTGCACAGTCCAGTGCAAAGCTCCCTGGACACTATCAGAGAACGTGAGACTGAGCAGAGCTCAGCAGAGCTCATTAGATGAGTATCTCCTCATCTAATGACAGATTTGTACAGGGAGCAAGAGGGCCAGAAAGCTTTGAAGCATGTCCACAGTTCACGGCCTCCTGCAAGCAGAGCTGAAGTCCGTGCCCGGACTGCTGGGGGTCTGTCTGGACTCTGGCAGGGAGAGCATGAGAGAGTCTGCACTACAGCCGCAGCTTATTCCAGATCTAGAGTATCAGCCCTTGCAGGCAGTGAGTGTGACCTACAAACAAAAGCAATGTACTATCAGGGCCCCGCCAAGAAACAAGCGGGAAAAACCTTTTATCCACATGTACCTTTTTTAAAAAAAATTTAAGTAATCTTGCTGCCCAATGTGGGGCTCAAACTCATGATCCTGAGATTAAGAGTCACAGGCTCTACAGACTTAGCCAGCCAGGCACCCCCTCCATAGGTCCTGCAGAACCGACTCTCCCACAACATTGCTTGTGGTTCCCACACATGCTGGAGAAAAGCAGCTACACACACACACACACACACGCGCGCCAGATTCTGAACGTCTGTTATTTGCGTGCACAAGTGAATGACACCGACCGACCGACCAATCGGACAGTGTCACCTTCACCTCGAAAAGACTGGCTGTGTTTTAAACTCCCTGTGCTCCCCAGGGGTTGTCTCTGTTGTGGGTTTGAGCTCAAGCAGAACAGAGCGGAGGCTTCAGCAACAGGCCTCCCTACCTCCAGGGACAGGGAGCCTTCAGCACTGCACCGTGGACGGCGAGGGCCAGCTCGGCTGCTGACGGGCGGAGCTCCTGCGTGATGGGACTCAGCAAGCAGAACCCCAGCACCTGCAGATTTGCTTCTGAAAAATCTTGCCTCTGGCTTTGGGCTGGACTCTGACTCAATGTCCGTGCCCACTGTTCAAAAGCCGTCCAATGGAGAAGTTTGCAACCTGACAGGGGGCGTCGAACCACAGGAACTCGACAGAGTGTTCTAATGCGAAATGACAAGGTCTCAGCTCAGGAAATCATCCTCTAATTAAAAGCTGTGTGATTCTGTTGAAGGTAACAAGCTCTGTGTGGCCTGGTGCTGAAACCCTCTAACGGGGGAGAACGCGGAGACAAGACTTTGGTTAAGGAAGAGCCTAGATGGAACAGGAAGGTGAGAGAAGGAATGAGAGGAGGGTGGGAGCAAGGAGCAGAGGGTACGAAGACGGAAAAGTGACCACTGCCAATCAGAATCAAGAAAATAGAGACACGAGTGGCCTGATAGAATGCACTTGGATTACGGCACTCATTCCTTCCCCGGTTTGGGTTGGGAGCTTGCTGGGATGTGGGCTCAGACATGCAAGGTGATGCGGCGGGGGCAAGGCCACGTGGTTTCCATCCCAGATGGGCGGAAAACCCAGACCAAGCCTCAGATGAAGAGAAAAGGAGGTGCAAGGTTACCAGTGAACATCTAATAAAACTCTTCAGAAAGAGCAAGCTTCCAAGGGCCAGACTCTGCAGACATAAACTGTACTTATTTTGAGAGTTCAGATATTTCTTGTAATTCCCTAGAATTTAACAACTAATGAAAGAAACATACCAGAGCTTCAAAACTTGATACAGACTTTTCTTCTAAGTGACTTTAATGTCCCGCTATCTGACAATAATCACAATCTGAAGTACAAAAGATACTTCGCTGAGGCTGCCTGGTTTGGGTGGAAACCAGAATGAACGGGGAAAGGAGAGAAAAGCCAAGTCTCACGTTAAACCTGTGGCTGGCTCCCTTCCGCACGGGCATATTTTATAAGACAGCATTTCTTACTCTTGGAACCTCAGCCATTCTTCCCTTTTCTTGGGTTTATCTGGAAGTTCCTGAAGCACACTCATCTGTTCGCATGCCCTGGGTCTGGAAAGTGCTTTCTTCATTTGGAAGGCTGACCTCTTTGACCAAGGGAAGCTCAAGGAAGGGAGGAGGGAAAGCACCAAGAAGCCAGAGCAGCTGAGGGGGCAGTCTGCTTCAGTGACCCATCCTTGGATGGAATCCTGGCTGTTGACCAATGGCTTTTTGGGGCATTCAGGGTGGGTCAGACTCTGCATTTCAAAG